GGTTGAGCCAAGACACTATTTTTGGCATTTGCTTGAGACTAGTTCTCTCTCATTCTTCTTAGCTTCTGTAAACTTGGTTCTATTCGACCTTTTGCTTTATAATTCTGTCGGCTACTTCTCTTCTCATTAATCTCTGATGTTAAACATTATTTCTCTTACATTTATAAGGATGCTAATGATAAATATAAATAATACAAGTATGTTAATTGACAAAATGAAAACAAGGTAATGATTTAATATAAAAATAAAGAAAATGAATGATAATTGATTATAAGAATAGTAAATAAAAAGGTATTTTCAGCTATATATACACAAAAGATACAAAAAAAAAAATTATATGTAATTGGTTACAATTGTATAAAACTTGTATGCATAAATTTATAAAAACTAATATTCCCAAAACAAGATTTCCCTTGTTCCGGATAGGAATGAGAATGATAATTTAGAATTACTCAAAGAAATATTATCTTTTTATGATATATATATATATATATATATATAGATGAACATCAAGAGAGAGCAAGTCTTATATAAAATATTTACATCTCAAACCAAATATCAATTAATAAAATCTTGGCAGGAATAGAGTTGCAACCCATTAATAAAAAAACTTCAAGCTGCCATGGAAATGAGATGTGTAGATTGCCTATTCCTCCAAATGTCTTTTCTACACCTACACTTTCTCCTCAAACACTGGTAGAGATCACCTAGCTCAAACCCAGAAGACTGTAAATAAAAGACACATAGAGGATGATGCGGTTGGATGATTCAACATTAATTTTGTCACTCCATTGATCTACTTGTTCCATATGTTTTCTTGCAGTCTCCCATGCAATAAAGGGTCACCCTAGAAGTAGCTTTTTGCTTTCCAAGCAAGTCTTGAAGGAAAGCTTGCATTATCAGCCGCCCTTGTTAATAAATATTAAGAGTAAAAGTTACTAAACACCAAATAAACAAATCTCAAATACTCGTGACGACAGACTTATTTGAAGCATGACTTTGCACAGAAGTTCTAAATCTTTTTGTAATTTGTTACAAACTTTGCAAGTACTGTATAATTGTCGCCATAGGCATCTGTTGAGAACCAGGTGCAAACACCCAAGAATAAAATCTTTAGATTTCTTTATTTTCCTCTCTCTAAACTTTATTTCTTTCTCTCTTCTCTCTCTCTCTCTTACCTATCTTCTCTCTCTATCTCTGTTACTTTTCTCTCTCTTTCTCTCTCTAGTGTTCTTTCTTTCTCCTACTATTTCTTCATTTCCAGATTCTTCTCCCATGTTTCCATATTCTCTACTTTTCTCACTCTTCAAATTACCATTCTTTCCCTCAATTTTTACCATAATTATTTACAAATTAATTTCTTTCACCAAATAAAGGTTCTGCTGAAACACATGTCAAAGTTGGGTCCTAACAAAATCTTCTTTTCATCGTTCCATTGGACCACTTTTTAGAACTGAAACTAGATAAATTAGAGAATGGCTTTGACTATCTGAAAATTAGTTCCCAAAAATGTAGATCCAAATAAATCTCCATAAATCCATTCCACCCTCCAATGTCTTCACAAATCAATCAGAGTCAAACATGAGTACTACTTAAATATGTAATCCTTTTCCACTTCTAATCTTTCC